TGGGGGGGAGGGTATATGGTTTCGGGTTCGGGTGGTTGCGAAGTTTGTCAGGTCCCCGGGGAGGGCGGATCCAGTGGATGGGCACGTTTCAGTGGGCATTCACCTCCTCCTCCTTCTTCGTCTTCTTCTCTTCTTCTCTTCTTTTAGGCTGTGCAGCCGGTGGGGTCTTGCCAGAGGTGGTGTGTGGACAGGTGGATGACAGCTGTGGTACCTGACCGGGGGGGGTATGAGGTATGAGGGCTGTACTCGTATATATGCGTATATGTAGCAGGAGGAGTACGGGTAAGAGCCAAGGCAGTGTTGATACTCGTAGGACGGAGTGGCACCCCGTGATGAGAATCGATGGTCAATATGGAAAAGAAGGATGGGCAGGATGGGTGCTAGGTCGAAGAAGAGCGGCAGCACGACGAGTACATATACTACCTCACTAGATTCGCGGATACTCGACTGCTATAGTATACAGAGTACAGCTGGATGCTGCTTCTACTGCCGCTGCTGCCGCTGCTGGGTCAGTACGGGGTGTATATCGATACTAGCACTACTTCTAGAAGCAATATTATGGAATAAGCAGCAGCATATGCTTCCGAGTCGTTCAGATCCACCATCGTCAATGAATGTTGAATGTTGGTCGTGTCCCCCCACCGGCGGGCGTGGATTGGTACTTGGGTACGGTTTGCATTTTCGCACTGTACACACAGGCCACACCACACACCACACGCACCACCTCGAACCTTTCCCCGAGCCTCCCTCTTACAGACGTCTCGCAAGGGGGGGGGAGGGAAGGGGGGGCATGGACGAGTTGCATTCTATTGTTGTCTGAATAAGAGAGAGAGAGAGGGGAAGATGGAAGGAGGGGAACAATTGTTCCATCTTTCTCTATTCTGCGGTGGGACAGAAAGATGACTGAAGGGGGTGGCTGAAGGTTCAGAGGTAGGCTTGCTGTTGTTCATGGCCACCTGCAGCATCGAATCAAATATGCGCATGACGTGCTGTCCATCTATTCCTTCTCGTCTTCCTTTCCCTCTCTCCCTCTCCGTCTTGCAGTGTCCGAGTATCGCCCGGATCTGTTTATCCACCCACCCCCAGTGTTTCCAAGGGCATGAATGATGATGGATTGCAGGACTACCTCTGCCAGTATGAGAGAGGGGGAGAGAGAGGGAGAGAGAGAGGTGAAGAGGCATGAGATGATATTGGTAAAGAAAAAAAAAAGAAAAAGAAAAAAAAGATGGATAGGTGCAAGTTTGGGGGGTTCGTAAGGCGGCAGTGCTGATGCTACCGAGTGGTGATAATCAACAGAGGAACTCACCCGGCTGGGAGGAGGGGAAGGGGAGACGGAGGACACATCGGACCTCGCTCTCCACCGACGACTGATATATCGTCCAAGCATCATCACTACTAGAGTCTTGGAGGCATGGAAGGTCTCGTCAGCCGTACTAGAGTACTCGTAGTATCAAGACTGGGGTGTGGGGTGTAGCAGTATCGATGAGCGAGTGGATGCTCCTGGGAGAGAGAGTGCGTGCCCCGGACAAGGTGAAAGTCGGTCAGGACGTCTCGGGGAGGTGGCAGAGGGATGAAGTGAGGGTGGTCAGTGTTAGTTTCCCATCTCTGGTAATATGTGACTCTGTCCACCGAGCATCATTACCTGCCATCACCACCACCACGCTACGGAGTATTGCTACCGCTGATACTACGATCACTACCTACGGCATTAGGGTACTGCTCCCTACTACCTGCGACCTACAGCATGCTATTTCAATATGATATGATAGCACCTACATGCGGTAGCATTAGCCGCTGAGAATTGCAATGTAATCTCATGCGGCTGCCTGCAACCTGCATATCCGTACCAGTCGTCGCTACCCGCTTAACCCACGCTACCAAGAGCTTCCATCTTTTCCCACCAAACCTTGTACGGGGGACCCCTTCTTAAGTGTTTGACCCTCCATTCTGATCCTGTACCCTTCCAGCCTCCAGGGGTTGGTTCAATGGCAGCGCTCCCGTGACAGACTGACACTACCCACGCGTCTTTTTTTTTTCTTCTTCTTCTTCTTCTTCTCTTTTTTTCCTTCTTTCCTACGTCAAAGGGGCTGTCTACTCCACCACCATTGCAGCAGATGTACATGATTATATACCGAATCCTACCACTGGAGGTACAGTATTATTCCTGTTTTGCTCTTCTTATCCCCCCCCCNCAGAGTTCCTTTTGATTCTAGTCGATTTGTCGCCGGGGGGGGTTTTTTTTTTTTTTTTTTTTTGGGGGGGGGGGGGGGGGGGGGGGGGGGGGGGGGGGGGGTTTTTTTTTTTTTTTTTTCTCCCCCCCCCCCCCCCCCCCCTCTCCTCTCTTTTTTTTTTCCTTTTTTTTTTTTTTTTCCCCCCCCCCCCCCCCTCCATCCCGAGTAATGACATGTATATTGTATCTGCAATTCACCCGAATCGCGTGCATCACGAAAAGAAAAAAAACCCCTCTTGATAATGCTTTTGGCCCCCACCCTCTCCTTCTTCGCAAACATGGCCATGTCGATGAATGCCCGTGTATACATGAATACTCCAGTACTATGTAACCATTTTCAAGAGAAAACGATTGGAAGAAGAGAGAGGATAGAAACCAATTAGGCGCATTTCCTCCCTATAGCTCCCCCACGCATGGAACGATATCCTTATAGAGTAAAGGGGTCCGTCTCCGGGGCGGTAGACTACCTCGATTGAACTATGACGACGGACGTTCTTCCCTCCTCATGCCTCGGCCCTTTTTTTCCCGGACATGAAGGGATGGGAGCTGAAAGGGACGGCCTCACGCGAACTTGTTTTTTTTTGGTCTTCCCTTTTGTTGCCAACACCTTTTCTAAGAATAGATGGATGTTACCAAGGCTACAATACAAGTACCGAGGCTATGATACATGACTGTTCATATTATTCTTCGTATATGAAACTCTCGACTCCTTAAAAGTCCAAACATGATCGGCAGAGAGGAAGGAGAGAGAGGAGGGGGGGGAGGTGCTTCAAGTACTAGGTAGTACGGCCTATTACTGTACGATTTCAGCTCACGCACTGATACTGTTCTTCTTTCCCTTCTTTTCCTCCTCCTTCTTCCGGATCTCTATCTTCTCCCTAGAGTTCCTGTATCAGGGGACCCGGGTAATTCTGTTTGGCCTTCCCTGTCTCTTCGAAGCCAGAGAGAGAGAGAGAGGGTTGTTTACAGCATGTTCACCTGCTCGTAAATATACGTGTGCATGCTTGGAGTAAATGGCTGACCTGTACATGTT